AAATAAAAATATTTAATATTATTATATTCTGAACACATGCTATTTTTATTATTAAAAAATAAGCTAATTGTTTAATACTCAAAAAATAAATTATTTTTTCCTTCAATTTACTTAATATTGTATGATATCATCAATCTATTCCAATTACTTCGATCTTTATTATAAACATTTAATTTTACATTTTCTAGAAGTTCAATTTGACATCTCCTACGAGATGCTGCTATTTTTTATTGAAAAAGAATAAAATAAATTATTAATAATTACATAATAAATGACAAGGCCTATCGCTTATCGTTAGACGCAAGAATAACGTATCTATTCGGAATATAATGATTCGGAATTCCAGAAAAGCCGTGATTTAATGTGACGAGATATAATTGATTGTATTATATATTGTACAATTGTGCTTTTTGTATTTCAGAATGATTTCGTTGCAATTATTTTCTCATTTAAAGCTCTAATTCTTTTGTTTCATTCAGATTTAAAGCAATTATTGTTATATGTAATACGTTCATGTAAAACATCATCATCAAACCTAAATATAATAAAAATAACGCTGATGTTTTCTTGAAGTATTAAACATACTTGACGTAATAATGCTTTGTGATAAGTAATAAATTAGAAAATGCACATGGTTATGTAAATATCCTGATTTTTCATTATGATTATACGCGATTCTTCTTGCTTTTTTATTGCTTATTGAAACTGGTTATTCAATATTTATTTAATAATTATTTGTGGACTTTAATTTATCTCAATTAAAAAAAAAATAATTTACATATACAATGCTGAAAATTATTTTATTTTATTTTTATTACTTTTATTATCCCAAAGTTCTCAGAACTTGTCGTTGACACTCATTTATCATATTATTATCACGAGTCCCGAGCGACATAACAATCATACATGTGGAATTTACATGATGCAATTCTGCAAAGTAAAGCGTAAAAACGCATAGCCGAATTGCGAATTACGTATTCAATTACCTCTGCTCGAATTACAGCGGGTCTTTTATAGAATAATAGCTACCATGCGTTGTTGCAAATTCTGTTACGTTAATTCTGTCGTTAATTCTGTCTACTGTTAAATTTCTGAACGAATAATTATATAATCTAATAGTTACGCATTGAAATTATTTTTAAATAATATTAAAATTTCAACAATTTATTTAGAACTATTTATAAAATAAGACTTGGAAATAACAAGAATGGAGACTAAAATGTGTAAAGATCAAAATGCTGTAGTTTTGATATTATTAAAATATTTAGTATTATTAAAAGAAGAAGATTAATAAAATATATGTACATAAAGAGCATATATGTATATCGGTAATTATAATTTTTTTTCAGCAAACCTTATATATATATATATTCTAATAATTTAAACAGGCCACTGCTTACGCTATGATGCAAAACATTTCGAGTAATTAATCATTAATTCAGTTCAACATTGCTAATAAAACAAAGATGAAATAAATAACGAATCGTCACAAATAACGAGAGCAAGAAAGCATTAGCTACAAATCATCGCGATTGATATCCTGCCTAAAATTATGTATGTGCGTATCTTTGAAGCTTAAACTTACTTTGATTTTCTATGCGAATATCTCCATAATTATGCTGGGATAACACTTTTACGAGGGAAACATCAGATTCAGTATTTTCGAGAATGTTCGCTTGAGAGAGACGCGCGGATCTTATAAAATACCCTGTATCGTGTATATGTAACGTATAACTCTACAGAACCAGATGCTCTACGAGCAATTCATGTGAGATTAGAAAAAGCGCTAATCGTCACACATCTTACTTTATTCGATTCACAGAGATATTACCTAAGAATAATCATTACTTCTCGCGCAACGCATTTGTCATCCGGTATTTCCGTTGTAATTTTTATTAAAGAGATCTCTTCGTTATGTCGCGAAATCGCACGACTTCCACGAAGGGGGAATTTTTTTTCTCTTTGCTTGGAACCTCGCCTCGCGGTTTAAAAGTGCACCGATCACGCGGTGACGATTTTTGCTTTCAGCAATTATCCGCCGATGGTTTAATCCGCGATCCAGGCGTCATACGGCACTTGAGCGAAAAGTTTCTCCACAAAAGTCGACATCACTTGCACCAGCTTCCTCCTTAGATCCGGCTTCATTTCTTTCAGGAGTTCCTGGCTGTTGGTATTGATGAAGAGATTCAACGCCGCCACTATAAAACAAAAGTGATGTTTGGCCACAAAATTCGATCGACACGAATTGTATGTAAATGAAGATATGTAATGGAAATAATGATACAAACAGAACTGATTTTTCTGATTAATTACTTGTTATTCTTTACCTAAAAATTAATCTTGATAAATTTGAAATATTTCTCTCTCATATACATTTGTCACATTTATATTTATCCATTAGAATTGCCTTGAAATTTATACGCTAGTATACTTTCTGTATTAAAACTTTCAAATTATATTTGCAGAACCTTTCTTATTATATATTTCAGATTAAAAACTCCATAATTTATTTTGCAAGAATTAAAAATAATTTAAAATAAAAGTTTAAACATGCTCAATTATGTGTACAGGATGTCCCGCATTAAACATAGTTTTTATCATGCAGATTTTTTGGTCAGTTTTCAATCGATAAAGCAAATCAATTTCTTTTTCGTTTGAATACTTATTTAAAATACATCTTTCGCTTGTATTCTTTAATCTCTCTCTTTCGCCTGAATTTTATAATAATCAAATTCTTTAAAGATTTTTTATTTTACTTTTTATACTATTATTTTATTGTTGTACTATTATTGTATTATTAGAATTGTCAAGATTTTTATTCTATTCTCTGAAACAATCTGAGACTTAAGCAAAAAAATTGCAACTTACGCAATATGCTATTGGTATCGCGCACGTTTTCGACTCCCATCTTGATATTTTGCACGCTAAAGTCCATTTTCAGTTGCTGCAACCTAAGATAACGACGACCCTCAACTAAAAATGGCTTTGCCCTGATGAAAACCTTGGCCTTAACACCCTCTGCAAACAACACAAATCTTGAAATTATGGAAGATAACAGAATGAATATTATATTCGTTGAGATCGCATAAATTACAACAAATATGCAAATCTTATATTTTTTTAAATAAAAACCGCAGTATTGTTAGTATATAACAAATTGTTTAAAATAATTAAATAAATGCAAATATTAATTTCCCTTTTTGTTAACAATTATTTGTATAAATTGATGTTAATTGATATATTGTTAATCATTTTTTTATACATAATGCATATATAATGCAATAAATATTTTTTACATGATTCTCGCTCTCGGAATTATATAAATATCATAAAAGAGATACGAGATATTTGTATTTCGGGTTGTCCACAGGTAGGCGCGAATAGCAATGAGTTATTTCAGAAGAGCTATTTCTCGTAAATACAATTCTTCTCATATACGTGAATATTTCTTGTAGCATGCTGGTAAATCGTGTTGCTATTCACAAGGAGTTTAATACTAAAGATCGGTTATAGCTCGCACTCACGTGGCATAGATTCTCATATATAAGTAATTCCCAATTAATTTGAAACCTTAATTACTTGTTATATTTATGTAATAAACACTAAAAGTTGTTTGAATATGCGTGTATATAATCTATTTTTACCTTCAATTACGAACATTTGATACTACGAAATAGCGACAAATGATGTTTATTAATCATAAATGTACGTTGTGTGTGCGTAGATGGTGAAAGTTACTCGCACACGTGTACCAGTGGCATTTCACTCGGTCAACAAAATTCATCGGGAAAATTTCGCAAATACTACACGCTACTAACGATCAATCATATTTTTTTTTTTTTACAAGGCGCGGTAATAATACATAGTTGCAAAATTTGGCTTAAATTTAACATATATCGCATGTCAAACGGTCTACACAAATTTTTACTAATGTTAATGTAACATAATATGAATATGAAATTTATTAAATGATGACATTATAATACTATGTCAATATTTCAACACAAAATGAATGCAAACTTCATAATAATTTGAAATAAATTTTGTGTAAAATCAACATATTTTTAATAATAACTTAGATTAACTTAAAAAAAATGTTATTGATAGTTTGTAGCCACTCTCACTCCTATTACAGAATAAAATCAACATTTTTTTCTGTAAATTTTAACAGATAAATCCTGTCACTAATAATGTGGAATATATCTATTGTGTAAAATTAAAAATATGTGCGCATTGTCTTATTTTTACACTTTTTTTTCAATTGTTTTAATAATTTAAGTTCAATTTATGTTAATTTGAATTCAATTAACACAACAGCAATATGTTAAATTAATACATAAATGTGTTGAATATTTAATGCAAAAATTGTAACCGGCATATTTTTTAACAAAGAAAAACATAAATTTTTCAACTGTGTATATATATTTTAGAACAATAACAAGTACGGCCATATAACGGATACAACGTACAATACGCGCTGCTGAATCACATTGCTAATAATTAATTGTATTGTTTCAGCTTACCATACTCGCCCCAGTAATCGCCTGCACCAGAGGCTTGCACCAAGATTAAAGTTCCGCTGGACCGATATCTGGCGGCAGCTCTTATTTTTGGTATGCTTAAAGCCAGTTGCAACTGCACCTCGTCGTCGCTCAGTCTTGTTCTGAGAGCATTTATTCTCAGGGTAGAAACTCCTCTCGCGGAAATATTTTTGAATTGCGCTCTATAACCATCCGGGCCGCCGCCGAGCGCAATATGCAATTCATCCAGAATAATTGGTTCCACTTCTGGATAACCCAATTGCGGTAGACCTGCAGTTGCAACATTAATTAGAACGGAGTAATATGCTTTGCCATATAAGAGAGAGATTGTAGTCTTCCCTTCGCACAATAAACTTTGACAGAATTTTCATTCTTCAAAAGTTTCTTTCGATTATTATTATTAAACTTAATTTAAATTATTATTAAATCTATTGCGATTGAAACAACCTCTGATTAAAGTAAATAAATAATATTTTATTGTACAATTGACAGACATATTATAGATTGCGACAGAAATCTTATTTTTCATTAATTATATCTTTGTAATTCGCTTAAAAAGTTTACGATTATTACAAATGACTTTTTTGAAATTACTTTTTGTTCACTGGTGTATTTGAAGAAAGCTATTACTCTCCAAGTGTTGGAACACAACTCTGTACAAAATGACTGGAATGTAGGACACTGGGTGACCATTCGAATATACCGTTATAACCTGCTTCGGTTAACGTGGCTAACAAAACCACGATTATAAAACCGGTTTGTTTCTCAGGCTTTCGACTTTAAGTTTATTTACAAATTATTTGTGTTATTATCATATATTTATTCTAAAAAATAAGTCATTCTCTGCAGCGTATAAAAATTATTTTCTCAAAATTTATAACAAAGGAAATAGAAATGCGCTACGATTGTTAAATATACTTCAAATTTATTATTTTTACATTAATCACACAATATTATATCTTAAAAATTTACCAAAGTCAATAAAAAATTGTAGAATACTTCAGAATATGTCAGAACATGTGAAAATATTCATTTAATTTTGGTTTCTCGATTTTAGCTTAATTTTTCTAATTATAAATATTTGCCTACTTTTTTCTTCATTTACTAAAAAAGAAAACTATTAATCAAAGCTATTAATTAAATTACTTCTACAGTGCAGAATTGTAAGTAATAAAAATGTTATCTTTGTATATTATTATGTGCGTTTAATGGATTTAGCATTCCAAACTATATATTTATTGAAAAAAAATAATGAACATAAAATTAAATCTCTCTCTAGAGTATATCATTGATATACTAATAAAAAAAAAAAAATAGAATGATACCAGTACTCATGACACGTGGAGTTGTATGAAAAATTACTCAAATTAGTCAAAGAAACTTTCAAAGTGTTGAAATAAAAATTGCATGAAATGGTCTTGAGATCTCACCTTGTCTGAAGTGTTCGACTAATATGTTGGCCGTCTTCGCCAGACAGGCCTCCAGTTTTGGATCATGTCTGGAACATGTTTCCAAAAATTCGAGACCTCGGTACTTGCCGAAGGCCTGGACGCTGATCAGCAGTGAGCACGCGTAGCACAATAGTACAGCTCCTCTCATTTCTTCGTCCAACAAGCCGAAGATGATGATAATGATTTCTTTTTTCTTTTTCTCTCTAATTCTTTTCCGTTATGATCAAATCTTGTCAGTCTGCCAGTGTACTGCACGACCCGACCGGATTTCTCGACGAAGAATGATCGGCTGGCAGGGATGCGCCAGGACTTATAGGCTACCTTGACATTGCCCCCGCTATGCCGACCCCGAGGAGAACGAAGAAGAAGAAGAAGAAGAAGAAGAAGAGACTCGAGCCGCAACGATGCCCGAACAGAGCACCGAGCCAATTGGCGGACTCTTTGATATTTCTTCTGCCTATATAATGCATGGGTGGAAAATGAATTGAAAAATACTAAAAAATGTGGATATGTATCTGTAAGGACGAGAAGGAAGGAGGGGCCCAAGTTCCTGTAAATCGTCAATGAAAATTATGAGAGAAAAATATTTTTATTTCTTTTTACAATTATATATTATATATGTAAGAGTTTCTTTTATCCTCTTATTATTTTACCATCTTATTAACTGTATACTTCAATTTTTGCAAAATTATAATTTGAAATTTATTATTTTTATGAAAAATAAATTTCAAATAAATTTCATCTAAATCAATTTTAAATTCAACGTAGAGTAGGTTAAATCATTGACGCGATAAGTTTTGCCGCACAAACTTTCCTAAGTGCAAAAAGTAATGGAAACGACGCATATTTCACAGAAGGTTCTTTGTAACTTTTATTAACATTCTAACTTTAAATTAACCGTGGCAAACAACGTGCTCTTGAAATGTTTTAACGAGCCCATTCTATCTCACTGATGGGGAATTTATCGTTGGAGATATTCCGAAGAGGAGACGAAGAAACATATTGATTAATTTAAGGAATCGCGCGGCGCTTACTTTCCCGATGATTGCCGGTGTTTGTTTAACTTTCTTTTTCTTTTCTAGAAACATTAAAGTGGTCCGCGCTTAATGATTGGAAAAGGCAGCAAAAAAGCGGTTTTCTCCCTTCTAATAATTAGCGAATCGAATAATTAGGCGATACGAGTGCATCGCGTGCATTAAATCGAGTACGATCCGTTGACGCAATTGTGATTGATCAATTAAATTGTGCAATTTAAGTACGTAAACAATTCAAAAATTAAGTCCGTGAATTTAAAAATCGGATGATAAAAGTGGAATGGGTCATCATAAGCCGCAATATTGATAATCGATAATGAAAATGTGCGATGAATATGGACGATGGAAAGCGTCTGGATGAACGTCAGAATGGACGTCATAGAACAACCGAAAGAGGAGTATGAGAATGTTAAACACCGTTAATCGCTTCGGTCACGTACGTTTTGAGTCACGTTTCTGATTTGCTCGCGCACACATGTTCGCGGAAGATCGATGCCAGTCGGATTTCCTGCATTTAGACGTGAGGAAAAAACGAAATCGGGAGACATAAATTGCAGCTGTAATTCTGGATAATGTAATTTCATTAATTTTGAAATTACAATTTACGAAAATATAAAGTCTTTAAAATTCTATTTATTAAATGCCAGTCACACAAATAAATTGGTTGAAAGAAACGTGTAACTAAAAAACTTGTAAGTTTAATTGTCGCACACAATTTACATTTATTATTACACTTTCTTAATCTTAGTATGCGAGTAAGTGTAGCTCTTCTGTATATGTGTGTGTGTATGTGTAAACCTGTCGATATATTTTAATTTATGTAACTTTTTTACTGTTTAATATAAATTAAATTTGTGTGCACTTTTCAAAAAAAAAGAAACTTGTAGTGATTAAAATAATTTTAAAATTTCTTTTACCAATAATATGGATTTTTTTTAGATTTATGGATGTATAGAAAAAAGAAAGGTTCTGTACATACTAGGATTAAGATGTTACAGTTTACAATAAGATGTTACGTTTATGTTGCATATTTATTAAATCATGAGACTGAGGGTCGAAGACATATAGTTACTCGACATAAATATAAAAACTCGCCTGCCGCTTAAAATTAACATTATCACTTTCTGGTAATATTGGAATCATAAATCGCGCATATCAATGTTCTCTGACTCGATATTGCGCCATGATACGATGTTCCCATGTTCTATAAGAATGCGCGGTCAAAGACCGCGGTTTCTCAAGGTAAGCAGCAATTCATAAAAAAAAAGCAATCTCTGATCAAAATGCTTAGCATTCCGCATAGCGCTCGACGGAAGACATAATTATAGCATGTAGAATACGATATGCCGAATTAATGGCGTTAATTTCGTTAATTAATATCGAAAATTATTTGACAGCCGAATATGTAAAGTGTAAAGGTCGTATATAAAAAAGAAAAGAAATCATATACAGGGTGGTCCTCGTAACGGTCGCCACGATTTTTAAGGCACTTACAATAATCTGACATAAAAAAGTCATAAACAGAAATTTATCAGTTTCTAACCGGCAACAAATTTCAATAATAAAAATTGACCAAACAATTTTTTTTCCGTGTCAGAATAAGATATAAAATAACTCAAAAAGTACTTAATGAAAAAATACTTTATTATAGTGTTTTGTGAGAGAAAAGCTCTCGAGATAAGCTACAAGAATATGTAATAAAAAGTAGGCAGTTCCATTTAAAAAATTGAAGGTGACCTTGCTTTTTTATGGAAAAAAAAATGTTTGGTCAATTTTTATTATTGCAATTTGTTGCCGGTTAGAAACTGATAAATTTCTGTTTATGACCTTTTTATGTCAGATTATTGTAAGTGCCTTAAAAATCGTGGCGACCGTTACGAGGACCACCCTGTATTTGTCTCACATATACTTATATTCTATATTATGCTGAATCATTCTTACATAGTGAAAACGCACGATTATATAAACAAAAGAAAAACAGCACAAGATTTCACGAAAATACAATGCCCGAAATACAAAAACTTTCACAACAAAATGTACGAAATCTATGGCTTTCGCTTTTGAACAGCGATTTAACATTGTTTAAATGTTGAACTGACAAAAACACTTTATTCGATTATTAATTAATTAATTATTAATTAACACTATTTAACTTATTTATTAATTAAAAGATACGCATTTTTATTCCTTTAATTTTAACTCATTTGAATGATGTAATTGATTCAACTTATGGATTGGTTCGATTTGAAAATCTGTTCGAAGGGAAAATTGCGGAAAGAATTATCGAAGATTTCCGTAAAGGCGGTCGAGACAAGTTCGTTGATTAGATGCCTCGTTATCACGAAGCTCGGTTGCCAAGTATTGTTGATTATCTTATCGAGGATATTTTCGAGATATTTCTTGCCAAATAGAAGATTTGTGACGTGAAGTTCTAGATCTCTTATGCTCTCAACGTCCATTTGTGCCCGCACTTTTTGTCCCGGTAGTTTAATCACCGTGGTCGTTTGTATTAGATCGTCTGCAGAGTGAGAAGGAATACCATATCATAAAATAGAAAAGTTGCAAATAGATATTTCAAGATTATTTTAAGATTATGTATCTCTCTTCTAATCCTATAATGCGGCCATAATCACATGGCATTGAAAGCAAAAATTGTATGATTATTTTTCTTGCATCAAAACAGAGTAGTTCTTTTGCATGCCTTTAATCGTGCTCAAAATAGTACTAGATAAAACATACCAAACATGGCTACAGTAAAAGATCAGAAGACGACCTTCTAGTCATTTTTAAATGAATATTCGCACTTTCACATAACTAGTTAAAATTGTTCAAAAAATTCGAAACTTATAATTAATGATATTTTTTGTAAAGTTTTATATGGAAACTTTCACGCATATGAAATAAATTTATTAATAACACTTACACAAATCGAGCGTGAATTTTCCTTTGTTTGTCATAGTGGAACTGAATAATGCACCTTTAAATTCGTAATTACCACTCAGCATTTTTTTCGGGAAGCTTTGTGTGTACACAATCTAATTAATGCAATATTTAAAAATTAATTACTTTGTTATTTACATCACGTTATCGTTTTTGTTTAAATTTTCTTCTCCAATGAAAAATAAATGTATACAAAGTAAAACGTTAATAATTATGCCAATTATAATTCTGAATAAATATATCCTTATCTTTAACATGAAGTATAAGATATATAGATAGACAATAAATCAAAATGTCTTTTAAAAAAAAAATTATAACACGATATTTGTGTGTTGATGCTAAAATTATATGTTATATCAAGCTTAATTACACGATGCATATAGCGCATATACCTTGTAATTTCTCAATTCGGAGATGAATTTTGTTACTTTACTGATGGACCATCCGGTTTCAGTGACATTTCGAAGAGTTAAAGTAAAACCGAAATTTGAAACTCCTCTCGTGGCAATTATCTCTTTGGCAAAAAATGGATCAAACGGAAGCACATTATATTTCGGCAGACCGGTTTTGAAATAAGGCCGGATCATATTTAATCCTTCTCGCACGCAGGCATCAAAACCCAACTTGTCAGGATGACAGTTTTTAAAATTGTCCTCTAAAAGCACACATAATTGATAATCATTGTCTTAGCGCATAAATATAGCAAAACAAAAATTGTTATTAAAAATAATGACAATTTCAATATACTAATATAACATAATTTAATATTATGAGTTAAACATTTTGTTAAAATTAATAATAATATAAAATTTCTATTATAAAGTTTATAAACATAATATTTTTAATATGCTTTACTTTTTTGTTGTATATCTTGAAAATTTTTTATCTTGGTGTAAGTAATCATATGCAAAGCGGAGAAATAATATGTATTATTTAATCTATTTTAATGTAATAAATTTTTTACTATATCCAATTTATTTTTTATATTAAATAAAAACATGTGTTTCATGTTTTATTACAATTAAAACGGAAAAAGAAGTAATGCTAAATTTAATTTGTGTGAAATATTCATAATGACTAAAATTAAATTAGCAAGTATATGCGATATTTACGCATTATTGCAAAAATCGTCCAATTAACATTGAATGCCCATGTGCAATCGCAAATAATGTTACTTTCACTTCTAAGCATTCCTATTTTGTATATCTTGCACTTGATAGCACAATGCTGCGTTTCTTTATTACGACATAATATCATTATATAAGATATCAGTAAATAAACGACTTTTTCTTATTTCACTTTGACTTATTCTTTAACCATTTTTTATATTCTATACATGTCGCTTTAAATAATGTTGTTTTATTTGTTCCTTTCCTGTATTTTTATAAATAAAAAAACACAATAATGCACACACTACATATGCGTCATATCACTTATTCCTGATTTGTGACAAGTGCACATTTACAGTAAAGAAAAGAAAAGGATTTTTTCCCTCTCGACTTTCTTCCTTTCTCCAAGAATTCAGAGAGGCTGGAAAATTTATGTAATTCAACTTTTTACAATTTTAGCTTATAATCAATTTAATTTTTAAAAAAATCAAAAGATATTTATATATTGATATCAAAATTTGTAAGTTAGGTTCCTATTCAACACGATGATGTTCCAGAGTAATGACATAAATCCTAGATAAATGTATTAAAATTTCGTGTATTCTTTCAAGGAAAATTGATATCAAATTTTTCGCAAGCAATAAAATTACTTACGTAACTATTGATCCCTCTTGGAAAATTCAAATTGCCGAAACACACGATATAAAAACACGATATGCACAACTTAAGCCGGTTTCGCGCAAAAGGGACAACGATAAAAAGCAATTCAATTTTACATGTTTTTTTTTTATAGTCGATTTGTAAGATGATTATACATATATCAATATCTTTAATTTTTCAGTGAAAATAATATTACGTGTCGGACTTTTCGCCCGCTGTATTTTTGAGGGTACTTAATTATAATATGATATACGCGGTATACGTATATATATTATATAAATGGTTATGAATGTGTTTCGGTAACTGAAAAAAATTTAAGAAGAATATATTCTGAGAGACTAATATATATCAAATATTTCAAACTGTTTACCTTACGTCAATTATAAATTTATGAATTTTATTATAAATTTTACAATTTTCTTCGACAATATCAAGCATAGAAATCACCGACTATGAAATTCCTTCATGGGCAAGAGTTAAAATCATCAAATGTACTCACCAAATTCAATAAGGCATATATGTATCATCGGAATAAGTGTATTTTTTTTAATATATATTTAAAAGGATAGATTTTCTGCTTAATCAGATTTAATTTTTGCAGTTCCGGTGTATTAATAATTTTACCCGCAAGTGGAAACGGCACATTTCACGCGCGCTTCGGCGATGCTACAGCTTTAGTCAAAGGGACTGTATCAACGAAATCACGAGAGGGAAAGACATATTTGAATGTCGACGATCTCGATGTAATACTCGGAGTAAAAGATGTGCAAATGCGAGTCAGCAAGATCTTTAAAAACAATCGAATACTCAGTAAGCAAATCGCGCAAAATTGCATATTCCATTAATTATTTATATTAATAAACTTTCTCTTCTAGTATCCAAAAGATAAATCATACAACTAAACTACCTTCAATATTTTTTGTTAGTTAATATATAATAAAAATTTATATTGTATAATTATATGCAATTATAATAAATATTATAATTTTTTTTTTTTTTTTTTTTACAACTTTGCAATCACAAATATGAAAACTTTTAACTTCTTATAATTAATTAATTTTTTTATTATATTATATTTCTTCTCATTCCTATTTAATTTCTACAGCCGAGGCGATCAATCTCTTCCTTCGAGAAAACGGACAAGAAGTACTTAAAGTGATGGAACCGCAGCTGAAGAAAAAATTATCGGCGCTCTTTGCGGGAATTGTCAATCAACTGTTGCGACACTTACCAGTGGAATCGTTCCTTACACCTTAAGACACACCTATATCGCATCTTCATTAGCGATTGTTTTATCTTTCTCTCATTGAAATAAACGATCAATCTCAAATACGCAAGTGCAACCGAACAACGCGTTATAGCATCAAAAGTAAAAGGTACCAGGCTTATATTTAAATTAGAACTAAAGAGTCATTAAATTTAGAATTAAAGACGCTACTTTTCTACTGGCTTTCAATTTTAAAATAATAGACTGTGACTTTATTCTGGCATTTCAGGAAACTTGACGTATAGTTTATATCCATTAATATCCATTTTTTTTTACAAAAGAAATGACTTGAATAATAAAACTAAAAAAAATTGTCACTATTTTAACAAAACAAAAATTTATATAGCGTACTGTGTAAATTTATTGATATACAAGGATCGATTTTTAAATGCGCTAATTAAAATGCCACAATGATATAATAATAATAATATACTATTTTGTGATCGTTTCCTTATTTGGAAACGAAATATTGATTGTTATTTTTGTTGAAATACTAAATTAATATATTTTATTTAATTCATTATTCAGTCATCGAACAAATTATGTGCATAAAACAAACAATTGTACTGAAAGAAATTAAATCTTCATCGAGGTACATTTCTAGGCATAAAAATAACATATGTTGACAAAGAACACAATTGTTGTTTAGATTATAGTAAATAATTATGATATTAAGTATTAAATGTGGTGTTATAGTTTCTTAGCCAATGATAATTAACGGTATATTGATGAAGTATGACAAGCATAGAAATCACCGACTATGAAATTCCTTCATGGGCAAGAGTTAAAATCATCAAATGTACTCACCAAATTCAACAGCGGTAGTCGAAGCGTACAATATTAACGCAATTAAGAGAATTCCTAACATCTTTTCGGTATAATTGTTAATATGGAGTATAAATATATAATTATTATATACATATATGACGAGAGATTAATTATTTCATTTCGTTTATATAAATATTATACTTAAGTTATCTAATTCCTAACATCTTTTCGTCCTGTTTCTCTCCCTCCCCTTTTTTGTTTGATAAATCTGAAGCACGCAAAAAAATCACTACTTATTGTATACTTATTGATATTTACAACGGTTCACTTGAGGTACTATATAGACGAAGAGCGCGCGATCCTTGTACTTTCACCGTCCACGTTACATCTGAGAAAAAGAGTTAGAGGCGAACTGCCTCTGTGTTATAAAATTTTGGTAATTATGTAATTTCTTGGAGTTAAGAGGAGAAATGGACAGGTTTCAAGTGGGAGTGGGAATTTTCTCGCATAAAAAGTCCTCCCCTTTACCTCGAGTTTTGGAATTTGGACCAATCCCTTGCGCGCCAACATTAGAAGAGAGAAAACTAGTCTTATGTGAGGGATTATCTAACATTACAACATTACGTAACATTTTATCTCTGTAATAGATCGTGGTTAGAGCAATGGCGACTATGATAATATAGCATTTCGATGCATGTATTATGTTCAAATATCTTATTTTATATCGCAATTAAGATTTAATTAAATCGAATCTTATTTATTTTCTAAATTAATTAAGTTATCTATACAATATTTATTTTTACTATACGTTTTGCAGCTGATATGAATAGGTTAATTAAATGTGTATGTATGTATGTATATATATTTCCATAATAATTTTAGACAAATGATTGCAGAGAAGAAACTTTTAAGAAGGTTGAAAATCACTTAAAGGAATTATCGAATCGTTTTGGCACTCTTTTTCTATTTCCCTTGATATTTCTAATACATCTGTACTTTATATAAATAACTTCTCTAGTGGAAATAGCAGTAACACAATAATAGTAATAATGACAGAAGTAATCTATTTCGTTTACACGTTATACATAATTATACAATAAACTTGCCGCATTATTCACACGCGTGTCGACGTTCGATGTACAAATTTATCATTTTAACACTATCACGTTACGATGAGAAACAAAAATTATCACTTCGGAATGTCTGCAGACTCTAGAGAGAGAAAGTGAGGAACTCTGCATTCCTCCGCACCGAGGTTTCAAGCAGTCGACTAATGTATTTGCTGCTGCAAAAATTTGGCGCACCTTCGATTATATTTAAACTACGCTATGTACGTGCCCTAGCACGAGGAATAGCCTTCAAGGCCCTCAAGGGAACGTCTTCGAGAAGGAAACCTTCGAGAATATACGGTTAGCAACTTCGGTGAGATAATCATCCAAGTTCTTCGACAGGAACGGCAACATCTCTCGGTACAACGACGGCCAGTTCTCATTCACAAAGTTCAAAGCTATGTTATCTGAAAATGAAAATTCAGCTATAACAATAACGTACCAATGCATGAAAAAAGCAAATTGACTAAATTAATAAACAACATTATATAAGAAGAATTATGACGCATACATATGTATCTATATTTCCCATTGAATAACTATCGAGGAATTATAAAGTGATATAACGAGATAATTAGATAATACTCGAGATAATGATAGGCAATTTTACGGCTTAAGATAAAAACGTATAAAGTGATATTGTTATGGCAAGTGTCTCTTTCTAACATAATCTGGTATAATATATGAAGTTCTTATATAAATATAAGAAAGATATTAATGAAGATTATCAACATTCATATCGTCAAGTAAAGATAAATACGTTCTCAGCTAAAAAGACTATTTTGTAAAATTATTTTAAAATTATATTTATATGTACTTACTAAGTTGCTCGTTGCCATTGAACATATCGCTAAACCAGACTGTCATCTTTCCAATTTCCGGAGTTAGACGGAAATGTTCGAGCGTCCATATATCGTTTGCTACAGAAAAAAAAAGAGTTTATGATATAACTGACAACTATTTATGCAATAATATACATATTATTCACATTTTCTAATAATATTTGATTGAGTCTCTGAATAATTCAACTCTTCACATTTAGAATTGAAACAAAAATGTTTTTAATTATCTTTATATGTTTTATAATCACATAATAAAAATAAAGCACATTAATATCAATACCTTTATTATGAGAAAAAGTAAAAATTTAATTCTCAGATATTTATCGAGTTTGATAAAAAAAGAAAAGATTAACTGATATTTAGATGCTTAAATGACAGGCAACCTTTTGTCGACTATATTTTTCGCTGCAAAAAAAGCTCTTATTACACCAAAAATTTTGAACAAATGTTTATTTTTGATATAAGTGTGCATATATGAAGCTTACAAAAGTAACACAAAATATTTATAATTGCACTTTTATATACATGATATGTATATAATTTTAATAAATTTTGGGACATATATGCATATATATGTATATAATGTGCAATATTAATTTTATATCTAATTTTATTTAATGAATAGCTTAGACCCGAATAAAGGAATTTAATTCGAATAATCTCAACTCTTGACACATTAAAATGCGAATTATCCAGATTTTCCGAATATCCTGAATCAAATAATATATAATTTTGGGTAATTATGTCGCATAATTTAGATATTAAATTATCTAAATATATACATTTTTAGCTCTGTATCGCTGTTTCCTTACCTAAACTTTGAACGCTAGGAATAAAGACGTTGAAGATGCCAACCCGGCGAGACTTGGTTATAGACTTGTATGATGCTGTTCTGTACCTTCTGCCCAACCTGATATGAAGCAAATGTGACCGTCCTTGAAAAGTATAAAACGACGAAAAAAAGGAATACTTGTCTCAAGAGGTCGTTGTACTTATTGTTGAATTGATCGCAAATTTCTCTCATGTAGACATAATATTTGTTAATCATATATGTGCAAGCATACGAATATTTTACGAATTTTCCCAAATTGCATATTTCTTTCAGTATCGCAGTTATTTATTTAAGTCAAGAAAAATTAAAAAATTTTTGTAAAACTGAAAATTAATTTATATATATATAAAGAATCATTTACACTATATGAAAACATATATATTTAGATAAAAATAATGTGAAAAAATAATTTAAAATAAATTCTTTTAAATGAATTATTACTGTAGAAAAAATTAAAGCATATAATATATAAAAAGTTTTCTATAATATAAACAGTTTTTTTTAACTTTAAGTTATTCTTATCTTACTTTATTGAAAAAATTTCTTTTGTTTAAAGTGAAAATGAAAATTTTTTTTGTATTATATTACATGCGTTTTTGAATTACATATACATTATTAATACCAATCATTGTTTGTATTTAAATATTATTCGTATTTTACTGAAAATTCTTGTAAAAAATTTCAAGTTTTTTTGTTACGTAAATAAGTGAATAATCTTCTGGACATATAAATAATCAATCATACATTCATAATTCAGAAGATCATCACATTTCTTCTTCTTTTTATTCTCTCAAAACATTATTACTGAAGAATAAGTGAGATATTTCGTATAATTTGTCAAACGGCTAAAAATAAATTAATGTAAAAAATTAAAAGCAGAAAAGCTGTAATAAATTTTTTTACAGAATTTATTTTTAGAATTATATATTTAACACCAAAATTTTTTTTGGCAATAATTATAAAACTCTTAATATTTTACTAATATTATAATATTGGAATATTAAGATAATATTAGAGAGACAATTTTATTGGCGTCATAAATACCTATGATCACAAACTGTCATTAATGGAATATGTGTATATTCCATCAGATTCTATTGCACAATGCAAACAGCTTAATTGTAGTTGAATGCAAATGACTTATTACATCATTATAAGAAGATACTATTGCGTACACATGATTGCTCATCATAGACACTTGTTGTTTACATTTCATGCAAGATTATAATTTTGCCTCGCGAAACTTTACAGTTTCGCAAATTCAATTGAAAATCTGATGTTATCTATTTTTCAAAATAAAAGAAATTAATAAAATTAACATATACAATTCTCGCAATTTTCTCTGACAAATAATTTTTATGAAAGAAATAAGTGTGTGCCAAGCAAATCTCTTATATAAAAATTACCTACAATAAAAATATGTAATCGTAGATTAAAATAATACATAACAAAAGAATAAGAGTCACTTCGACCAAACTCCGGTTTATTTAATTTAATCATTGATTAACTAAGTTGCAGGACGGTCAAATAAAGAATTTTAAAATTAGTATTATATTATATACGATAATTATAGAAATGTTTATGTTGATTGCCCTGTAAGTTAATCAACGATTAAATTAATCGGAGTTTAGTCGAAGTGATTCTAAGAGGAGAAAATAAATTGATAATATATAATATATCTATATACTTATACATATATGTGTATTCAGTGAATCTCTCTTATATTAGATATCATATGCGTAACTCGAAACACTCGCAAAACTCTATAAATATTGATTTTATGTTAAATAGACATTTCATGGTAAGTGTAAGATTATGTTCAATCTCTCTTTAGCTTTTCTCGCTCATGATGTCGACTTACTAAAATACGAAATTACATCTATAACACTAATTTATAAATGCAATATACTTTTGTCATGAAAGTGCCATGAAGCCAACTTTTCATTAAGCGAGAGTGCGGCAACCGATGATTTATAAGCGGATATACGGATGTCATTATATGTCCTTTGGATAGGACACTTTCGTCTAACCGACTTCACAATCCGTGTAAGACTCGTCTGCCGTTGCAGCCGACGAAGGCGCGGGTGCATATTGCAGTAGTGAAAGTATCCGCGAGTGCAGCTATACGAGAGATCTGCCATCTGTCAATGCCCTCTCTTGCATAGTCAGTCTTGCTCTAACAGAAGTCGTTTATTCACGGGATTCGCGGGAGTCCTTAGTCGAACTCATCGTCATCGTACCTTAGTGATTCTCCTTTGCGACAAGATCTCGTATCTAATTTGCAAAAGATAGAACAGATTCGCGGGTGGAACCGTTGGGATTTCACAAGTCTCGATAATCGAAACTTTCGCAAAATCGTTGTCGCGACTGCCTAAAAAAATCATGACCAAGAGGCTGTGGATCATTCTTCTTATCGTCGGCTACGCGGTAACTCTCTCCTCTGATTCAAACCGTGAGTAATCGAAAATATTTCTTGCTAATTTAATACATTAATGTCTTTAAAATTGACTAAGTCGTTAAATATCCATATAATTTGAATTATGTATTTGAATTTGAATAATTATCGCGAAACGATCGGTTTGACCTTAAATAGTATAAATAATGTATAATTTATTGTAATTTAATTATTGCTAAAAAATCTAATTATATCTGATGAGTTATCAGGAATGTGATATTATCCTCATCAATATATAACGATGGTTAATTAGACTAGATGTAATGTCTATGAAAAAGTTCAGAAAGCAGCATGCAACTTACAATTGCAAGAAATTGTTATTGAAAAAATGATTTGACTGTTTTATATATCATAAAATATTTTTTTTTTTTAATAAAGAAACAATTTAAAGTTAAATTGCATGTGCAATTTCCTGCACGCAATTGCATTGAACTGTCGTAAAGGCCGGATCTTCATTTCCGCTGTGATGTTGTAGTCAAGTATATTCAAAGTTAGTTTAGAATTTGTATTTAGTTCAAACACTATTATAGTAAATTTATTATAAATTCACCATAATTATTATTAAAAAATTGCAATATAACTAACCTTTTTTTTTTATTTTTAAGTTTATTACATTAGGAAGAATATAGAATACAACACTCCCGAAAAAATGTAATTATAATGAGTATAATTATAATACACACACACAAATATAAATATAAGTATATGTATTATATACATGTCTATTTGTATATTATTTATTCATCATGTATACCAAGCATATATTGAGTAATCTAAATTGCAAAATCTTGAGATCGAGAACGAGATCTCGTTCCAAAGGAAAAAAACTCTTAGCATAAATGACCTTTGCAAAAATTTGTAACATGTTACTCTTGTACTTCGTCACGAGATAATACTTTCACTTTTAACGCGACTACCAACTAAGATGCTTTTTGTTCATCGACGCTTTTACTTATTCATTCTAGAGCTATTTAAATTTCTCCCGCTTTAGATAGAAAGCGCAAGAAAATGCAATTTAAAGAATTCATATTTATTATTCTTTCTTGAGTTCAATAATAAAATATACAGGGTGTCCCCAATTTAAATGTCAAAACTTTAGGAGCGTGTAGGGGACCGATGCCATTGAACATATCGCTAAACCAGACTGTCATCTTTCCAATTTCCGGAGTTAGACGGAAATGTTCGAGCGTCCATATATCGTTTGCTACAGGTCCTTCCATAAACCATGTGTCTTTTATATCCTCCAAACTAATATTGAAAAATCCTGCCACGTAAATAATAAGACAAATTATATGCTTTTTACAAGAATAATTAAACCCCCCATTAATGAGAAATTATTTTAATATATTGTTTAGAAATTCTAGATAAGATAAACACACTACATATAAACAAAGTAAAAAAAACATACACCATACGCTAAAAATTTATTATAAATTATATGAAGAAAGATATTGAAAATTTATTTCTAGTTTGTTTCATGATATTATCTGATGATAAATAATAACAAAATTATGCAACATCGTAAAAATTAAACAATAATTAATATCTCTCTAGAGAGCAAGGGTATATAATACATTTTTGTTTGTTGGGTAACTTTTTTTAAATAAATTTTTAATTATTTAATTAGCGCACCTTCGCCGCCAATTTGTAACGCTCCGTAAGCTCCATTCGCCTTGAAATTACCCTCGATAAGCATCTTTGGCAATTCGAGATCGACTTCCAATCTGAAGGCATTGTCAGAATGATGCGGCCTTACAGCCAAGAAGGTAATCTTCGAAAGTCCATAGATATTAACATTTTTTACTGTTACGTCTGCACGTAAGTCACCGGTTTCGTATTCGGTATGTTGGTGTTCAAGAAAATACGGATCCAGAGGTGGCAGGTCTAATTTCGGTATACCTTCCAAAAGAAATCAAAACTTATGTAATGTGGGAGAGATATAGGGGTATGTGAAAATAAATTAAATAATAGACAATATATTTTTCCTTATTTACATGTAAATCATAAAAAACGTAATGCAATAAAAATTATTGCTTTTATTACAATTTAAAAACAAAGAAAAATATCAGCGTTTTTTTATACCTGCGATGAAGTTTGGCCATGCTTCTTGCATCGCAAGTCTCAGGCAAGATGTATAGTCAGACGCATCCCGCTTGCAAGTCTGCACCGCTGCGTAAAAAATATAAAAAATGCGTTATAATACTTTTTGATAAATCTAATAATTTTAGTGTTGTTTTAAGTTTGTTGGCGAAAATTATTTGTTTGATTTTTTGCGATTTTCTTCAAAACGAAGCAAAAACGAGCAAATCTCTAAAGGACTTTTTGTCTTAGTTTATCGGTCCCCTACACGCTCCTAAAATTTTACATTTAAATTGGGGACACCCAATAAGACACCCAATAGAAATCTAATATAACCAATATACAACATTCTCTTTATTCGCAGCGGAATATGTGAAGCAATGTTCCAGGACCGACCCAAAATTGGTAAATTGTCTGATTGACGCTCTGCATCATTTACGACCTTATTTGAGTATCGGAATACCCGAAATCGAATTGCCTTCAGTAGAACCATTCCGTGTAAGTTCTATCTTAAATTAATATAAACAATATAACGTAGAATTTATATTATTATATTTAGTACAGTATGTATGTATCCCCAAAAATTTCTTTCAAGGAATTTCTATATATAATAAACTCGCACACATTTGTATAAAGTTAGTATTTTAAATATAGATATAATTAAATATTTATTATGCATTAAATAAGTATAATAAAAATTACGATTTAATACATTCTTTACACTTTGAAAGTACCCATTAAATGCAAGCTATATGTATTGTAATAAGATAAATAAATTACGCTATGAAATGCGCGGAAGTTTCGTATCAATTTGCATCGTTATGCGTTCGCTGCCATGTTCTGTTAATTTCAACAGATGGACGAGCTGACTCTCTCTCTGACAGGTGGTGTGAACGGTTATAAGATTCAGCTACGCGACCTTTACATAAAAGGGGCAAGCAACTATACAGTGGATGATATTAAGCTTGGCTCACCCTTCCAAGCTATTGTACGAATGCCAGCCCTTATACTAGACGCGCATTATTCCAGGTAGATAAATTCGGCTATACACAACTCGACTAAAGTATCAGAGTAGTACTTAAACTAATATCTCTCTGTAAATACCTATTTATTTATACATTTGTATACAAGAAAAAATTATTTCTATTCTCGCATATGAAACTTCTCTCATTTATTAATCCTATATGAACGCTAAAGATTTATTAATACTATAATAAAATTTAGAAGGCATATATGTATAATTGGAATAAGTGTATTGGCAAGTCTCAGGCAAGATGTATAGTCAGACGCATCCCGCTTGCAAGTCTGCACCGCTGCGTAAAAAATATAAAAAATGCGTTAAATATATATATATATATATAAACTATTAATTAATTATTTCAAATATTTCTATACTAAACTATATATAATAAAATAATTTTAGATTTTAATTTTTTATAGCAGACAAACAGTTGTATCTTATTAGCTTTTAATTCCAAAATTTAAAATTAAATTCTATATACAATACATATTTAATCAAATTTTTTTTTAATTACGCATGAATCTTTATAACAAGATATCGTATTAGCTTAGAAAATTGTGTGTACAAGTTTCGAACTTATTCTTTGTTAATATAAACGAAACTTTTTCTTATCTGCAATAATTACAAAATTAATCATTATGCTAGTGCAAATAATAATTTTTAAACAATGCGTATTATGTTTCATTAATAAAAAAAAATAGACTATTAATGTTAGCACGACTAACTGTCAACGCAATTAAATTATATCTATATAATAAAAGTATAATTAAATATAATTGAGAAACATACACGTAAGTAATATTATCCGCTCAACCGTAAATATATAGATTTACATAATGCAAACTTGCATATTAAATTATTATCTATTCAACCGTGAACATACAGCACAATTTTGTACATATAAATTTATATATTTTAAATTATATATATTATATATTAAAAGATATCTTAATTTACTCTAATTTGATTTACTTTCTGATACCATCATTTCGATGCCATAGAATCGTTTTTGTATAGATAAAGCATAAGAAAGAGAGGGTTGTATGTACAATGTAACTACGATTTAATGCCAATAAACACGCTAAAGGAAACATTATGTATGTTATTAATGGCAGCATAATAAATATTTATAATTCATTGATTAACTTTAATTTTTTATTTCAATAGCACGTTGTAAAAATAACACCAGCTCCAATTTGCAATCTATAATAAAATGTATCAGTTAAGAATATATCATGTATCAATTAAAATCTACTAAGAATTAATTGAATTGTCACATTATTTAATTAAGTAAAATTATATGTTATATAACATAGTTAATATCTTTTAAAAAAATCAGAGAGTTGAATTTTTATATATAAAAATATTATCCCTATATATATTAATAATTGAAAATATTACACGATTACAGGTGAGAATCACGTTATCAAAGCATGATATTCATCTTCAGCAAACTGTGAGAAAAGATTCTACATCACGTGGAAATAATCGTACAATAGCACGTGAAATTTAAATACACATTCTTTTTCACACACTGGGAAGTATCAACTGGGATTGTCGCCATAACTATTTTTTCTTTTTTTGAGTTAATTAAAAATCTCACACTGTCTCTTTCTCGAAACAGAACCAAGAAGACATGGATGAGCGATTAAATCCTGACTGATTCGAACCCAAAGTTTACAAAAACATTTCTTAAAAGCAGAAGAGATCGGTGATTGAATAAAGGACTTACGAAGCTCGAGATCCTGAGCCGCGACGAGCACAAACACGGTAGCGCAGTACACGGCGAGAGCGTAGAACGACATCCTGCGTGGTTAAAAATCCTTGCGGCTAGCCCAACCAATTATAAACACTCGGTTTATATAGTCTCCCGTTCCAAGGACTTGGCAAAGATACGTTGCAAAATTGTATGTCATTAAAACGAGCCTATAACGTGAGAGGCGAGAAGCAGTAGTAGGTGGGAAACTAAAACATGGCTGCGGTAGCATCGGAGAATACGCTCTTCTTTTCTTCGAAACATCTCCAGTGAACAAGAAAAGTGGCAGTTAAACAAATTCAAGCGACTCTATCCTTTGATTGAAGAAATTATAATCGAATCAATTATGATAAAAGAAGATAAAAGAAAAGAAGAAGAAAAAGAAGAAAAAGGAAGAAGAAGATGAGAGATGAATAAAGAATGATATGTGGCATAAGATATTTTTCTAAGAACAAGCAAAACTGTTTTTGTCGTGAATAAAAAAGAAATAGAGAGGTAAAAAAATAACATACAAACATATAAAAAGAAATATTTTTGACGACATTAATAATCAGATCACCACTTTTTGGTCTACTTGGTTTTTTCTGGTCTCTCTCTTTCTTTCTGTCTCTATCTCTCTTTTTGTCACCGCATCAGCATCTTGGGCTCGGTTTAATTGACAATGACTCGTGCTCAATTATTGTTGTGTTCTTGCGGTGATTCCGAGAATGACTTAGTAAGAAGAAATCTATTTCTGCTAATATCTTCTCTCTCTTCATGTCCTTTTTGAATTTTAAATAAGATGTCAATATGACTCATCGCTATACATTGAATGAAGCATCCAAATTTCAAGAAGCACCCCGGAAAGAGTGCACTTATCTATATACATACATATATATATTTGAAGATTATAAGAAAAAAGTAACACCACACAGGTTTGATAAAATGTAAGAAAATAATGGGGGTTATTTCCCTTTCTTCGTAAAATATCTTAAATCCTTTAAAAATTTGATCTCACATATATATAAATATAAATATAAATAAAAGTATTGAAAAAATCTACTCTTCTTAAAACGCACATATTTCCTATTTATGCACATATTAAATTTATTAATTCTAACTAGTTTCATAGCTTCAGCAATAAGAGCACATAATAAGCAGAAAAATACTTTACGTAAACCTTCATTGCAATGCTAATCTTGAACAATGATGCACAGAATATAATTTTGTTTAGTGATTCACAAATATATTCTACAATACATTCTATAATTTATAATTTTTGACGATCTATTTTATGTGTCTGCAAAATAGAAACTTAAAAAACCAACCATGTATGAGTATCTGAGTCTATTTAACAGGTGTACATACATTTTCCCCCGCAACATATTTAAGTTCTAATGTAAATTTTCAATATTGTAATCTTTCCATAAATCTTCAAGGGTGCGGAATCGAGATTTGATCTAGGTCTATTTCTATTTATACATTTAATAAAAAAATTAATGAAATAAAATTTTATACATCATATAGTATATTCTCAAATAAAAATAATTAAGATCTTTAAAGAGGTAAATAAAATATTTAATAAACTTGGGATTCATAACTTGGGGAATCATGACTTCTTCTAATTTTTTGTGATAATTAATTAAATAGATATAGATATACTCATTATTTTTTAATAATTTTATATTAATAATAAATTAAAACCTCCTTTGGAAAAAACTTAGGTTTTTTATTTTTAGCCAATGATTTCATTTACGCTTATCCTTATTCTTTAAGATTCCATTTATAATGCAAGTGCCGTTTACAAACAATTGTCTAGTTGTCATCCAGGAAATTAAATATGGAAATTTTTTAATAAAATGCTGCGGCAAGAACAATTAGTTACAAGTGTGACGCGATGTAATCAACATATTCATAATAGCTGTTATTAAATCTCTGTAACTGGCTTATTAAAGCTAACAAAGTAAGATAGCTCTTACGAAACCTATATATACATGGGCAAACGCTACAAAATGTTGATATTGATAATACAAGCAAAAAAAAAAAAAAATTCTAGCTTGCGCACACACAAAGACGTAATTTAATAAATTCCACTTCACGATAAGTTGATCGATGATATATCCTCATCGATGAAAAAAGCGAAATACATCAAGAAAAATTCCCAGAACATAGAAAGACGTTTTCGCGATCTTCATATGCAAGTGCAAGGACATGATCGGGGGATCATGGGGGGACTCGCATGGACTTCCGTGATATTGTAACCTTGCGTGCACCTTTGCGATGCACGGGCGATCGACAAAGAGAGTGCGCAATTTAGCTAATATCGCACTCCATTTATCTAGCCGCGATGGAATGAATGCGCAAAGTAGCTACCCTTGGAACATATCGCGTCGACAGCGAGTCGAAAAACGAGTTTTTCTAAGCTCGTACAGCGTGAAGAGGAAAAAAAAGAAATTCCGATAGCAAAACGATACACTCACGACGAGACTCGACTGTGACGTAGATGTAGACATGGTATGTCGATAAGTCGGTGCGTCCGATACGAATGTCATTATATTGACCGGCGATTGTGTTACAGGGATACTATGAATGGTGCAGGCGCCTGTGCAAGAGCTACGAGTCCTTTCTCATTACATACTCCACCTCACACAACAGTCGGTTATCCTGGAATTCTCACGAAATGACACTTGGGTCTTTATCTTTGAAGTATAAAGCAACTCACATTTGTATTTACGTGTATTATTATTAATATTGTCAAAATATAGATTATATAATCCATATTGTTTTCCTGGGTAATCGAAATATAGAAAAGTATTAGAAAAAATATTAATAGTACGAATTATTATAGATTTTTTATATATGCTCATTGACAAGTAACATGTGTATCGTGTAAACATGCAATATTGCAAATAATTTAAATTAGAGAATTATATAAATTAAAAAATTATATAAGCTTACTGCAATAATTTCCTGATAAGCTGTAATATGTTTCCAAAATTTATACAGTTATGCATTTTGGCATTGTGAATAAAATGGTTAATTATATTCTCTAAATAAATAAATTTAAAAAAATTTCAAGCGGCCCATTATTATACATATTTCTATTTGATATCGAATAATCACGACATAATAACGTTATATGTTGCGAAGTCTTTTCGAACTAGCTGAACTAAGAATAGGTATTTATTCTTAGCCACGTGTTTCCAATTTCATTGTCATACAGAGATGGTCAACATTACTATTTAAGAGAACCACAGGCTACACTTACGTTAGTAGCCTCCTCTAAACAACATGTAACATCTGGTATGCAACAGTGTATTATATACGACATCTGGCATAATAAAGTGCGTGATAATAAAGGAGCACACCGCAAATTAACTAAATACCAGAGTTTTGGATAATTGCTTAATATTTTCCTTATTGGCTACGTAAACAATGAATAACATATGATATCACCTATTGTTTCGACTTTTATTCACACATTTAAGAAAAACGATAATATACGTACATTTATCAAATAAAAACAAAAATGCATTTAATAACTATATTTATAAATCATAAAATATATAGTACATAAATTCAATATCTACATTATATCTATATTATTATCTGCTATTATTATATATGACGTAAACAAATCCGAAGCAATAATCACATTTGATATTAAACACGTAGTAAACAGTTACTAACATTTTCATCCGATACCTCTCTCACGTATGACATAAATTGCGTATGGTAATCTGCATAAATACACTCTCGCAGATCAATGAGCGCAAGCGATAGTGCAACGAGTCCTTGTCGAAGTAAAAAAAAATAGATAGTCCTTGTTGAATTAAAAATGAACAAAAGACGCGCATAGCAATCAGATAAGATAATGATACATCTTCTCTTCCTTTTGATGTACAAAGAATGAACGCTTAGATATATATGTTCCTCCTATCACTGGCGTTGTAACTCATTTTTGCTGGTTCTAAACCACTTTATATTTTACGTTTTTATTACGTATTTTAACTAAAATAATATCTAAATAACAATGACTATCTCTTTCTTATTTTCGCGATTTAATCTTTTTCAGAAACCGATACAATTTAGGTAAAAAAAAAAAATAATTGAAAATTAACTTCAAAAAGCTAAATACTTGTTTTTTCCTATACTTTTTTTTAATTTGTTTACTTTCGAATGGAAAATCAAATCTATCTACGCTATGTGTATCTTATTTTGGCTTTTAATCTCTGCTCCATGGATCAGAAATAAAATAAATCATTGCTTCTCTCTCTTAGTTCATATGAAAGATATGTAGGTCTTTCAGAGCAACACACCAGGTTGTTTACGCCGATCACCATTCACTCAACGGTGACCGCTTCCAGGCGCGTGCGTTACTACTAATGAAACACACAGAGAGAGACGCACCACTGCACACCGTTGCACAATGATTGGTATAATTATAATCCACATTTGGTTCGCGAGCAATGAAACAGGTGCAACTGTACAGCGCTGAAGTGCCATTATGTGTAAATAATGGTCTGTAATGGTCACTGTAAAACAGTGTCAATATTACTGTATGACATTTCAACAGCGGTGTTATTATAACAAAACTATATTGTGGAATCAAATATCTACATCAATTTTATGCGTTTCTTTTTATATGTTTTATAGTTGGCAAAATATTATAACTATTATAAATTAATATTATATATATATATATAATATTTATATCTATTGTATATTATGTGATACTGTATTTGTATCTAGATATTTTGTGTATGTTGTATTTTCAACAATACTGATTTTTAATTAAAATATTTAAGTATTAATCATGATGGTGTAAACATATTATTATTTGTTAAATATAAATATTAATATTAATATTTTAATATTAATATTAATATTTTTATTAATTGATGTAAATATATTATAATGTAATTATATATTTACATCATGTTATTAATTAAATTTTGTCTCTCAAAAAGAAACTAAAACTATCGATCTTTTGGATGAATCTGGCGACTCTGTTGTTTCTCTCTTAACCCGGCTGTGATTCATGTACTTCCGTATTTCGCAATCGGTCGGTATTATCAGTATTATTCAATCTTTATGCAATTTACATTACTTCGGTCGATAAGTACGCAAAGCTATTCGCTTATAAGTAGCGCCACCTGACTGGCATGAACTCACTTACGGTCAACTACGTCGCCGTTGATTGAACCCGTCAGTGAATCAGCTGATCGCTTTACTCACGTGGAGAATCAGCTGTGCGCGACAATGGAGGAACTGATGGATAACGATCAAGAGATACCGCCCATTAAATACGAATGTAAGTGTCAACTACGTTTATTTTTCTCAATATGTTCTTATCTTACACATTACATGATAGAAATGTACGTCTTTGCATGATCGATTCGAAATCTATCCTCGCCTAACGCGGCTTACGCAATATTTACAAATTATGACAAAAATATTCTTACGAAAGCTTTGATTTCGAAAATGCTCATTCAGAAATCGGCATTTTCTGTTACAGATCTCGATCACACCGCCGACGTACAGTAAGTATTACATTTATTTATCATCAACGGAGTCGATAGACTCCTTTGAGGTTACATTAGCGGCTAACCTAAAACCGCGCCAATAGCCGCATGTGTGAAAAGGCACATCTTACAGATACTCTTAGAGAAATGATCTTGAAAAATATATGTAAAAAGTATTCGCGACAAAGATCGAACTAACACGTGCAACTGCATCGTAGATTGCACGCATGGGGCGATACGATGGAGGAAGCTTTCGAGCAATGCGCGATAGCCATGTTCGGTTACATGACAGATCTGGAGCGCGTGCAGATCACACAGGTGCACCACGTGGAGGCCGAGGGTCACGATCTCGAGAGTCTGCTTTTCCACTTTCTCGACGAGCTACTTTTTATGTTCAGCGCCGAGCCGTGCATTGTCGCTAAGGTATGATCTTTTTACCATAAAAATTATTGAATAAATAAATAAATATATATATATATATAAATATTCACAGTCTCCATCATATTCCAGTATATTAATAGTATATAACATTTAATTCGATGATAATATATTGTTATTATAAAAATATAATTATATATTAGCCATGTAAAAAAACAAAATTTATATTTCAAGATAACGAGTATTTTTTTATTGCTTATTAAAAATTGTTAGACGTCTTATTCTTACATTTGGATTATATTGTCATTTAATATTTAAATTTGCTGAAATTTGCTAAAATATCACAAGTATGTTATAAATAATTATAATTATTATTTGAACTTGAAAATCATCGAATGGCAAAAGTCGCCTATTCGCGTCCGATGAAAATCTGTGCGTGTCTGTTATCAGAAAGTCAAGATTACTGAATTCAACAAGCAGGAATTAAAAATCAAAGCAATCGCGTACGGCGAGGAGTTCACGATCGGCAAGCACACGCAAGGCGCCGAGGTAAAGGCCATTACATATTCCGCGATGCAGATTTACGATCGTCCGCAGGTGGATCGACCCGAGCTCTTTGTCATTATCGACATATGATTGTAATCGAGTAAACACGCACGATCGTCTTACGTTTCTCGGCGTTCTCTAGCGCGGCACTGGACGACGCTGTAAAAAAAAAAAAGTTGGAATGACTGGCCTAAACGGAGGATTGGAGGGAAAAATAGAGGGAGGTTACCGAAGGGCGAGAAGGGAGACCGTACGCCTCCCCTACATAGGATACGATCCTTTTGTATCTGCTCCGTAGAGTTCAAATAAATACGTTACGAAGAAAGCACCGGGTCCCCTTCTTCTTGGCTTTACTTGATTCAGGTCTGTACTAATGTTATCTAGATACCCGAGAAAACGCGATTGAAAAATTGAATATGTGCAGATATGTCCGTTTTCGGTAAGAATACCGTGCAACGCATTTCTCTCATTGCGTGAATTATATCTTATTTATTAGTATTATTACTAATTTACTATGCTTATTATTAATTTATTATGTAACAAACTAATAGTTTATGAAATATGATCAATACAATAGAACTCTTTTATTTTGGGTCCCTCTATTCTGGAGTACTTGTGTCTCTATAAACTGAAACTCTCCGTTGTTCTCTAGAGTATTTAATTAATTATTTGCCACATATGATCATAAAATGTAAAAAAAAAAAAACACGAGTAAAAAAAGATAGAAAATATCACAAATTGATTACGCGAATTAAAAAAAAAATAAAAATAAAGTACCAGAATAGATGGATAGTTAGATCTCGATAATTCTACAATATAAAGGGATTCTATTATATTTAATTTATATGTATACTCAGTATGTTCTTATATTATAGATTATTTTGATAATTGACAAAACTAATATTTTTATACATATATATTTAATCTTATTAAAATAATTGTAATATATTTCTCCGATTATTTGCCTCGCGCTTATGTTTACAATTATACCTCTGTCAAAGATGAAATATAGTACATCTTTTAATTAATTTCAGATGTTAAATTGACATTATAAGAAGATGTAATAACTTTTATAGTTAATGTTATTTAGATTTATTATTATTATACGAAATTTACACGACTGTCTTTTTGTCTATATAAACATTTGATAGAGTATTTAATTGTATATTCTATTGTGTATATATTTAGATAATCCAACATATTTTTATACGCATATCGTGTAATTTGTAACATAATTGGAAAAAATCCAGATATTCCTTTAGTATCCCAATCTCTGAAGTAAATATCTTATTTAAAAAAGCATGATCAAAAAAACATAAAAGATAGCTCTCTGGTCAGGCTGTATTGTTATATACAACTTATTGTTAGTATGAGATGTTCTTAAACATGAAAAATGAGATTGTCATCAATTTAATCAAGATAAAAGTATGATTTTTTTGCCGGCCATAATTTTATTCGATATTCTCGTTACTTGGACGTATTTATTCATCATTTATGGGGGCCCCGATCACTTCCGTCCCTGCATCCGATTACCCCTCCATTCGTAAAGAAGGAAGGGACGATCGTACGCTTAGTTTCGGGCAACAGCAGGCAAGAAACGAGGGGGGACATCAGTGTCCGGCAGGATCGAAAGCGTGCGTGCGTGCGTATGGTACGTACGCTATCGTCGTCGGCGCATTAATACGTCACTAAATTGCATAATTCGTGAATGTGAGCTACGTAACGCTGTCCTGTTATCCCTTCGACCCCGCCAAGATTGTGAGGCCCGGATTAAAGGGACCTGATATCGTCAAGGTAGAAAAACAGAGAGAAAGAGAGAGGAAGGGGTAAGGGAGAGGGAGGAGGAGAGAGCGAGAGAGATTCAGACTTTGTTCGCCAACACCCCCGAGCATGGCTGACCGGTATGGTAATGGTGCGTTGCGGAAATGCGGGAGTACGGGCAGGAGTGCCGAAAGTGCGTAAAACCGGGTCGCGCGACATCCTCGACGACGTGACCGGAGAAAACGGGAGCATCCATAGGGATCGCGTTCGGCGCGACGTCGTTATTCGAGTCTCCCGATAGAGGAGCGGGCTCTCCTCGACTTTTGGCGGGTAAACTCAACGGGGGCGTGAAACCGGAGAGCGGCCACGCCGACGCTCTCTAGCTGCTGCTCGCTCGTGGAATCGATCATCGCGTCGACGATGGGAACTGTCGATGAAACGCGATGACGCCGATAGCAATTGATAACAATCCCATGTTGTCGCGAGTGATTGTCAAAACAGTTTCGCGCGAACGATGTCTAATCGGTAATCGTTTCATTGAGTGTTCATGACATGAGTAGATGCGACTGATAATCGATACCGTCTAGGAACGAGATTGTCGAGGGTATCTAGTGCGAGGCAGCGAAGATCATCATCCCCGAGGAAGAGACGGGTAGTACGCGGCGACGGTTTTGGCGCGCGTATTTCAGCTGTCGCGCGCGACCGGCAGATGGCCGGTACCCACACCGGCTCATTGTTGTTCGCGCGCGCGTCTCACGGACACGCCGGCACGCATACATATACGGAGGACAAGATCGACACGAAGGGTTCCGGCCGTCTATCCGACTGTGGCGTTCTTATGAAGGGCGGCGAAGGAACGACGAAGCGTCCCTCGTCATGCCTAAACGTGGATCTGTGAAAGTGCCTTCAGACTCGTCTCGATTAACGCGAATTGCGTTATGAGAAACTAAAAGAACACACGCTGTTACCGGTAAGTTTCGCTCTCTACACAAAGTAAGCTCCGAGGTATCATCACCTGTGAGCGCGAGAGGAGTCTCGTCGATCATTCGTATAATCGCGAAAAAAAAAAAAAAAAAGGAGAAAGAAAATATCAATTTCCCATGGACGTAATCGCGAGAAAGCTTCACACCTACACCACGATATTATCCTTCACCACCAATAATTGCTCGTTCGTACGTTCGTACGTTCGTCAGCTCGTCGGCGCATGCGTAAAACGCGAGGGAACACACTCGCGCGCGTCCACGCTTTTCCGCGGTTGCATATACACGCGCCGGCGGCGCATACGCGATCTTGTGTAGACACAGACACAGCTGGTCGTATACGCACGGACACGCGGCTAGTTGTTCGTCTGCTGACTCTCCGCGCTCTCTCTCTCTCTCTCTCTTTCTTCTTTCTTTCTCTGTCTCTCTTGGCATTGCCAGCACCGGCGCACGCGGCACACATTATCCGTTTCTCGTAGCCCGAAGACCGGCCAGTCGTGCCAGCGCGCCACAGAGCCCAGGCCTCGTTCCGTACACACGATTCGGTTGAAAAAGGAAGGATCTGCACGAGCCGGCCTCGTGTGTGTGCGCGCGCGACATATTCCGAGAAATACTCGGGCGACGAGAGATTCTCTTCTTGCTCTCTCGCCGGCGAGACTCTCTTGGTCGGTGGCCCCCGCGAGTCGAGCCGTCGAGCCGCCGAACATGCCGAGGCGGGGCTCGCTATAGAGTAAAGGCCCTCGAGCGGGCGCGCCACGCCGCATTCTCGATATTCGAGGTGAAGAGCAATCGAGAAACCACGTCGTCGGCGCCCGGAGGTCGCCGCCGCCGCCGCCGCCGCGTGAAAACGTTCCCCGAATTCTGCGCATTTTCTTTGGGATCGGGAAAGAAAAAAAACGACGACGTGTCCGACGCTTTTGTGAATAAGCCTAGGTAGAGCTTTTCGGGCTGGCTACCTGCGTCGTTGATCCCGGCCTCTGTGCGTATAGAGCGTAATCGTGTGGCGGCGTCGAACCGCGCGCAGAAAATGGATACCGTGCTCTAGCAGCACGGTCGGAGAGAAACGGCCCAGGCCTCGGAGAGAGAAGGAGGAGATATCCGGCGGAGAGAAAGGGAGGAAGAAGTACGACGAATATGTAAAGCTAATACACGCGACGACGACGACGACGACGACGACGACGAGCTCGAGCGTACGAAGGGAAGCGGGTCGGTCGCTCTATAAATCCGAGATACATCTCTCTTGACGTAATCGGGAAGCCTCTCTCGACGTAGTAAGGGCGACTTTTTTCTCTTTCTACTCCGTCTAATCTATTCCGAGCGATTCGTTACCGCGTATCCGATAAAATTCTGTCGTTCTCGAGAGTGCCAGGACCACGAGTCGTTCGCCTATCAAGAGATTCTCGGGATTGCTCGGGAGATGCTCGACCTCGCGGTCCTGTGTGATACGCGCCGTGCGCTGGCCTGCTGATTCTCCTCCCGGAAGAGAGCGCGGGTCTCCGTCTCAAAATACTACGTTTGCAAAGCAGCCAAGTAAGTAGAAAAGAGAAAAGAGGAAACGCGCGCGCGAGAAAGAAAGAAAGAGAGAGAGAGAACGTATCTCTTTTCGCTCTGACACTGGCTTCCGTCTCCCTTTTTTCGCTCGATCGAAACGTGCGTCGTCGTTTGCATTTGACTTTCTCGCTCGCAAACAGGTCAGCACACAGTTGCCCTGGCTCGACCGTCCTCTACTCGTCGACAGGAAGCATCGTTTCGTCTCGAGTATCGGTTAGAGAGGCGTCTCTCTTCGGTGAACATCCCTGGTCAACGTGCGATCGCGTTGGTTTCTCTCTAACGTGCCGGTGTAGCGTGCCTTACTAAGGATTACCCCTCTCTTATGGTCTGTATCGTCTTGGCTCTTTAAACGAGTCGGCCGCGATGTTGCGCGATGTATGTATATATATATATATTTGTATGCGTGCGTGCGTGTTGGCGCGTACCTCCCGGCCGGAGCCGGCATTCGTGTGTGCGTGCGTGCATACTATCCTCTCTCTCTCGTATATATGTACACATACGCATTTTACTCGCCCGAACGAAAGTGCGCGTGTCACGAAAGTTGCGATTTCGATTCTCGTTACGGTATACGATATACTATTATATAGATAGATTCCACGAACGTTCTTCTCCATTGACGCATGGCCGAGATAAAGATTGCATAAACATCGATTTACGGGGAAAGAAGTAGTTGTGCTATGTTTTACAATTTCGCCGATAGCTTTCCTTCTCTCTTCTTCGATCCAAAACTCTCGAGAGGTTAATTGAGAATTCTGACAATCGATGACGCGAAAACGTCAGAGCCCACGCACGTGTGTGGCCTTCAACAGCTGATTGGCCTAGGATGCGTGATTGCCGACACCACCCGCGTTTTTCGCTAGAGGAGGTTATGATAGAAAAGGCAAAGAAAAAAAAAAGCAATTATATATATATAGTCTCGTGAAATACTATATACACTCGGTCTCATCTTTCGAAACTTCGAATCAGCTAAAGAAGATACAGAAAGAAATCGTATAGCATTAAAGGGAGACGGATATCGTGCTAAATGATTCGACACTCCTGCAAGAGCGAGGAGAACGGGCGAAAGAGAGAGAGAGAGAGAGAGACGGCTTTCTGTCATCACATCTGGTTGCCTGGTTGCCTCGTGCGAGACATGTCACGTTTGCATTCTCGCAAAGCACACGTTCTATAGACGTCGTCGTCGTTGTCGCCGCGGTGGCTTTTCCCCTCCTCGACTAAAAACCCGGAGTCAGTATTTCATGTCGTACCCGGTCGATCGCGGAATTAGTCGCTACTAGTAACATAAAGCATATATTCCTCTCTTTTTCGAGTAAATAGTTCGCGTTTGTCCACGTTTACGAACATACATACTCGAAACCGATATTCTCGTCGATTCTGCCAACCGTGATTTGATACGCAACTGACTGGACCATCCTTCTCGTGGATGGCCAATCAACGGGCGGGAAGCTGTATTTCATTTTTCACGAGATGAAAAATGTGTTATATACATGAAAACGAGCAGATGGTTTTGCACGTGTCAGAAAAGGCAATCGCGTTTTTCAATAATTGCTCCGATGGGATTTATTCAATTTTCGTAGCGCGATTTAGCCTTGAAATTGCTCGAGATAACAACCGACCAATCAATGGGCGTCGTACATTGCTCCCAACCTTCGAGACGCAAATTGCAATGTCTCTCTTGCCTAGAGAGATTCCGACAACTCCCGCTAGAGAGTTATGCGTATCCGGCTGAAGGGATCAGGCCTTGCTTCAGCGCGCTATTCTTTATAATCCTGGTCCTAGATTTTTTTTTTCCTCGGTCTGGTCGTATTCGGGATGTGTCATCGAAATTGAATAATATGTATCCCTGTTAAATGATTAAGTATATTTTAACGTGATTAATTACATCTATAACTCTTTTTTTATTAGATCTGAATATGCATTATTGTATGTATGAAATCATATAAATAATAAATAGAATTTATTTTGTTATCTCTAGAAAAAGTTATAAAATTTTTTATATATTATCTGAGAGAGTTTGATAAATTAAAATGACAGTACGTGATTTACATAAATATAACAGTACATGACAGATATTTTCGAACTTGCACAATCCTGATGCGCTGTCTTTTTAAACCACCCCCGGAACGATCTCACCTTAAAACGTTTTGTTCTTTTCGCGCGTGAAAGTGGATTGCGCTGACTTTTACCTGACTGCCAACAATTAATATCTTTATAATTTTGTTATTTAACTGCGACATTAAATTATATTCGTAGCGCGGCTTCGTTTTTATTCGACAATTTTTTCCTTTGTTCGCATCGACACGTGCAATCGATCTCGTCAAAGGTACTCTGTACTCGTTTGGAATTTGCAATTAACCGGACAAATCAATCGTGCAATCAAACATATTTTTGAGATTTTATTTTCTGTCGAAATAGAACTCAATTTAACGACGAAAATAATAAAATAACCGCAAACCCCCGGAAACATCTCCCCTTAAAACGTTTTTTTTTTTTTTTTTTTTTTTTTTCTTTCAAAGTTCCTCAAGCACAATCGTTCAAGCCAAGTGTTCAGAAAGACGTTGAGAATCGGTGTTTTAGGACAAAGAAAGCCCGGAAATAATTTTATATTGAAACTATGTATTTAAACGTATTAATTATCTCATATGTTATATTTATATTCAAACTTGTGTAGAGAAAAAGAAGAGGAGTATATGTGGTAAATTATATTTTGCAATATCTATCAACGCGATGTTACTGACGCAGATATACATGAGAAATGACGTTTTTTCAAATACATAATTTTTTTGGTTTATAATGTCTAATAAATATAAACAGTGTTATGTGTAGTTGACACACGAATTAAATGTTCAAGTATAGAAAATTCTTGTTTCACGCAAATATTTCAATCTTCAAAACTATACACTAAACATCTATCATTATTGTAAACTTGAAAAAAATAACAATTTTTGCCAACAATTAACAATTTCGAACTTGTTAACGAAATCGATAATGATGATGATTATGATGAAACAATGTTAGCCATGTCTTTTAAAAGATAACCGATCGATCAGCTGATTTGAACGCATTTTGAGAGGTAGTCAAGGATTGAAATTATACAATTTATATAATTTCGACAAGTTTTTTGACGCTATAGATAATCGGGCTGTAAAATGTATCGAAAATATATATTGTATGAGTTCTATTTTATTTATTTAATTATTGTATGTTGAAAGTTTAAGCTAATTTTTAAAAAGGTCACAAATTAGTTGTTCATACATAGAATAATGTAAGAGAGATGAATCATTTATTTATTTATTTATTTATTTAGGACAATATAAATTTGATAAGCTGTTTTTTGCATTGAAAATCAAAGTCTCAAAGTGTCATTGTAAAAAGAAATTTTTTTTTTGTTTTCTCAGCCGAATATTTGATATCTTTTATTCCTATAAGATTTCACGGAATTATTGTGCAAGTATAAACGTGCAATTTCTTTTATTCTCAAATTTTCATGTGTACACAAGCGTAGAAATTAAATTCTGTTAAATTTCTTTCGCGGCCAAATTTTATTGCGCGTCCGACTTAAAGCACACGCGCGGCGCAATCCTATCGCGCCTTCCCCGCCAGAGAGATGCTAATATCGCGCAACATATAGTTACTTAAGCGCGGTGTGCTCGTCCTTATATTATTTCCGTTATTGCTCGTAGGGTATATAATGTATGTATCATAGTCGGTTTTTCGACGCGCGGATGAGGTCGCTCTCCTCGTGTCAACACGAGCGCGTCTTCTTCCCCTGTGAGAGTTTTGGGATTTAAAAATGACACTCACCGCCGTTGTCTCACCCGCGTGTAACCCATCGACGACAGGCACGCACGCGGCGAGCAGCAGCGGTTAGCGGCCGAAAATGCGGAGTGTGTTTAGAAATAGGTCTGTGCGCGCCCCCGCGATTCTTCCTCTCATACCTCTCGTGTCGATCGGTCGTTTACTGTGATCGCTTCCTCGAATATTGCCCGATGTTCCTTCCACGAGGAATTGCGCGAAAAAAATTTATATTAGCATAAGTGATTCAGTCGAAATGTTTAATCACGTCAATTTGTTGTTGTACTTAATTAGTGCATTGGAAGTAGCTTCATTTATTATATTAAATTTTATTTGCATTATATTTTATTGTGATATATATATATATATATATATAAAATTCATATTTTTATTCTCTCTCTCTCTATCTATTTTATTCTCTCTCGCTCTATTCCTATTGTTTATCACTTGTTGCATTCTGAAAAATCTATAATTAAAGAATTTGAATCTAGCTTTTTTGTAATTTTATAGTTTCCTAGTTTTTTATATGTGTATTATTATTTTAGACACAATCATTGTACCAAGATGCCTCGAGTAAGGAGACAAGTGATCCTGGAGGATCCAGCTAGGCCTGTTACACCAGATATGGCGGAAACAAAGTTGTGTATGTCATTTCTAGCGAAATTTGTATATTCAAATTTCTCGTACTACTTTTTATCACTGTAATGTCTTTCAGATTAATTCATTCAGATAATATCTTTTTACAGTAAAGTCTGAGTTTTTGGATGACGGATCCTTGGATGAAGTCCAACCACAGAAGGTGGCAGAAGAAACACCGAGCCCTCATTTACAAGATCATCAATACGGACAAACACCTTGTTACCAAATAACAAGGAAACCCACACAACCACCGCCAAGAGCTGAGGTAAACTGATTAATAAATGACAACAATAAGTTGTGATGACAAGATAAAATTTCTATATTGTGTAAATATATAATATACTTAAAGGCATCACGTTAGCATAAGAGTTGACTGATTAAAGTTGCAGTTTGTTTCCTTCTTGATAGATATCAGTTCAAGCGGTAAAAAGAAGACTGAATTTGGAGGTAGGGACAACTGGTCCCAGCCAGTCTGCCTTCAAAGCTCCCAGAGGTAAACGTAGAAGATCTGGTTCGAATTCTTTAACTGGCCACACACCCACCAAAAGTAAATTTTGTTTTTGTTTTGTGACCTTTTCTTCGTGTTCTTTTTTTTCTGTGTCACTTAAGGAAGAATCGATTGTTGTATTGCAGCCAAAACTGTAGAAAGGACACGGTATGATACCTCTTTGAGTTTACTCACAAAGAAGTTTATCCACTTAGTTGAAAGCAGTCAGGATGGTGTGGTCGACTTGAATGTAGCATCAGAGAAGTTGGAGGTACAAAAACGTCGTATATACGACATTACTAATGTTTTAGAGGGCATTGGTATCTTAGAGAAGAAAAGTAAAAACAATATCCAGTGGAAGTACGTTATCTGCTAGTATATTATTATTTTTTGCCGTTTATTGTCGATGATATCGAGAAAGCGGAAGATTATACACGTGGCATAAATTACTTGTTACAGAGGCGGTCAGTTACCGAATAATCGGAACGATATTGCCAATCTGAGGAGAGAGGTCGCAGATCTAGAAGCTAAAGAGAATACACTTGACCGATTGATTCACGGTGCTGATAAAAACCTACGCGAACTTTGCGCGGACAGACAATACGCTTATGTAACGTATCACGACTTACGTTCAGTTTCAATGTACAAAAACCAAGCTATTATGGCTGTGAAAGCCCCGCCGGAAGCTACCCTTCATGTCCCACAACCTATCAATAATTTTGGTCAACAAAAGGTAAAATACGAGTATAATGTTTCATATTGTTTATATTACACCTTATATTGTTTTTTAATGTCAAACAAAATTATTTATATATTATTTTATGCTCTCTGGTAACAATAGAATATTGTACATAAATTTATATATATTTTATTCTTTTTAAAAAAATATACAATAATATATTTTCAGCTTCAAATGCACATGAGGTCGGAACACGGAGAGATAGAAGTGTTTTTGTGTCCTGACGATCCCGCAGTTAAAACGTCACCTTATTCCGGATATACGACAACGCAAACTGTGCCTCAATCAAAAGAACTGTCTGACATACCTTGTTTGTCTCCTGAATTGTTGGTTAAGAGAGAAAGCGATGTGCGAGTCGAATCAGTACCTTCCGATGAGAGTTCTATGAATACTCGTCTGTGTACCCCTGTAACTACAGTTACCAATATAACAGGCATGAAGGATGCGTTCCTATGCGAATCTGACGATTATGGACCAATGGGCGGTGGCAAATTCCAACTCCAAACAGAGGATCAAATCAGCACTTCAGGTAGGATTGCAAGGAATTAATGCTTTGGTTCTTTAGCTTGCTTGAATAGCTTTCTTCTTATTCTAAATGACTGGTTTAATATAAGTGTAGCACAATTGTTAAATTAATTTTAAAAAAAGTTACATTAACAAAAAATAAAGAAAAGGTAATTCTTTTTTTATGAACTTTATTCTAGATATTGATATTATTCTATTTTTCTATCTCTTATATTTTCTATATACCTATATCCATATAAATTTGTATTTAATATTTTTTTATTCGGGGAAATTATAACTCATCTTTTATTTTATCAATGTGTTATTTCCCCGTATGTGCATTTTTAAAAATTTCATTGTTCCGATGAGAGTTCTATGAATACTCGTCTGTGTACCCCTGTAACTACAGTTACCAATATAACAGGCATGAAGGATGCGTTCCTATGCGAATCTGACGATTATGGACCAATGGGCGGTGGCAAATTCCAACTCCAAACAGAGGATCAAATCAGCACTTCAGGTAGGATTGCAAGGAATTAATGCTTTGGTTCTTTAGCTTGCTTGAATAGCTTTCTTCTTATTCTAAATGACTGGTTTAATATAAGTGTAGCACAATTGTTAAATTAATTTTAAAAAAAGTTACATTAACAAAAAATAAAGAAAAGGTAATTCTTTTTTTATGAACTTTATTCTAGATATTGATATTATTCTATTTTTCTATCTCTTATATTTTCTATATACCTATATCCATATAAATTTGTATTTAATATTTTTTTATTCGGGGAAATTATAACTCATCTTTTATTTTATCAATGTGTTATTTCCCCGTATGTGCATTTTTAAAAATTTCATTATTTTATTCTTTTATTCTTATATATAGAATATATCGTTAAACAAAAATTGCAAAAATTTAAATTAAACATTTAAATATTTAAAAAATTGGTATATTGAAAGTAAAGTTATCTAAATTTTTTTTGTGTTAAGAATTATAAATTGTTAATTTCTTTTTGTTATATGTAATATTTTTTGTTATTAAACAATATTCTAAAATCCAATAATATATTTTGTAAATATATTATTTTATCTCTCTTTTTACACATTTAAAATATATGCTCATATTTCTAAAAATATTAAAAAAGATCAATGTTGTATACAATTGTGCAATATATATAATATTGTCTTATAACAGGCATTAAAAAATTGAGCAATACTCATTTAGGGAAATATATTTCCTATATTTCATATATTTTCCTAATATTTTAACAAATATGCTTTTAATTCTTGTTGCATATTTTAAATATGTATTATATCTTCTTTTCTCTTCACCAATTATCTTTCTTATGTTTTGCTTGCGCAAAATTTCTAATGCTTTATTTAGTTTGATGCTTTATCTAATAAGCTATAAATATATATTTGTATTTTTTGTTGTTTTTTTTTTTTTTTAATAAAAGTATTTCTAAACTTTTCTGTCTTTGTATTACTAAAAAATATTTCCAATATGTTATACGTTCTTTTTTCTTATTAAAAATTTTGCGTAACATACACCACATGTGGTTTAACATAATTATCTTGCAAACACGCACATTATTTACTTCTTTTTTATTTACATAATTATTTACTCGTTATGATTATTTTCACAATCAGTATTTTCTTGCTCGAAAGGAACGTATTGCATGTTACAATCTTAATACTCACTCATGATTGAATCTTATTCAAACGAAAGGTAGCGGGAAAAATTAGATATTTCCATGCATATAATTTAATACAATTTGTATTACCTTTCTTTTGAATATTTCTATATTACCTTTTCACCAATGGATGATGACCGTACCCTGATGGAGCTCTGGCTGTGACTTGTGTGTTAAAATTATTCAAATCACATCACAGGCAGAGTTCTAGTTAGGTAACGGTTTCAAACAGCAAAGCTCGTGTCGTGGAAAGGTACGTTTATTTACACTAACTATTGGCTTTTCTTTATTCTGTGTACTTTATGTAATATTATATACAATCATTGCCATGTGATCAATACACGAATGGAAGACAAAGATTTCCATGCACAAGAGTTTTTGTAATTATCTTCAACACACAATTTGTAGACAAACCTATATGCAATTTAGAAATCAATACGATCGACCCGAATTTTGCAACAATTTTATTTTAATATCATAAATAGCAATTTTCTTACGATTATAACTAAACTAAATGTTACAGAAAAATTTTGCTGCATTCATTACTTTTGAAACTAATTTAATAAAAGTATTTTTGGCATATTGTATTTTTGGCATATTGCTCTTAACATATAATTTTAGGGACTAACAATATGCATTGATAGTATTTTTTAACCCTTTATACATATATACAGTGACAAACTGAGAAAAAATACAAAATTCTTGCTATGCATTTTAAACACAATATAGAATCTTTTATGGGTATCAACAAACTTTCAGAATTATTCTCTCGAATAACTATTTGCAAACAATCTAATAAAAGTGATGCATCTCTCAATAATCTGCTTGTGAAAAAGGAATTTAAAAATATTGGTGGATTTGATGTTACAACAAGTCCATCACCCTTCTCACTTTTGTTACAGATCTGAATTCGATTCTCGATTTTGGAGAGCAACTGCTGAGTTTGGAACCGCCTCTCTCTGAAAACGACTACTCGTTCTCGTTAGGCACCGAGGAGGGTCTGTCGGATCTCTTCGATTTCAAATTCTAGGAATATCGTCGCTATTGTAAGAGCGTTCTTATCTATTTTGGGCTATCACTCTGAGTTTGGTACTCAAATGGATGAAAACTGCTTTGTCAGTTTTATAATGCTCCTTCGTGTTAGACAATAGGTGGTTGACACTTTTGTTTCCGCGTGTCGATCTTTGCAAGGAATCGCGAACATGCAAAGTCGTTTTTATTTATTTACTGCTTCCCCGAGCAAACGTTTATCGACGTGTGAAACTTGATTATCACGTTTTATGTGTATGGTTAACTTTGAAAGCACAGTAACGAAATGATTAAGCACGCCCGCATGACGCAATTTGTTAAATATTCGTCTTCTTAAGAAACCAATGATAGATTATAAATACAAAAATTATATAGAATGGTATATATGTTTTCGTAAACGATTTTATACTAGCTGATCCATTATTATCTGTTCCATGGAGAAATTATAAAAGGCAATGTTGTTATCGATCCATCGGAATATTTTACTATTCTCGATATTTTTTTCTTCGCGTATACATTTCGTTTCGGAATGTCTCGTTTTAATTGCTTTGTTTTTCGGATCGCAAATTCCGGATGCAGAGAAGCCGAACTGGATGAAGCACAGGAAAAACATATCACGACATTGTTAACGCGTGCTTCCGGCTTGATCGATGATCTGCATCGATCGCGTTTGCGGAATGGATCGCGAAAACTTTTGAACAGAGAGGGGGGAAGGGGGGTTTGAAGAGAGCGAAGGCGGTTTTTCGTGCAATCTGTAATAATATTATAAATTGAGCTAAGAGATATAGAGAGAAAAGAGAGAATGTATTCGGGAATTCTCAGAGAGAGGAGAGACTGTGTCGGACAACGACCTATAATTGCTTTACTTAGTTGTCCAATGCCCGTGAAACGAATAAGACGATCAAGAGAGTCATCAAGTTTTTTTTTTCTAGTGTAAAAGTCTCAAGTGGGGCGAGAAGACAAAAAAAAGCGAAACACACGAGATGACTATCCGGATGGCAGTCTCTTCTTACCATTCGCGTCATTGGACACGGACGAGTTTTTAAATTATATTCAAGATTAAAGGCTGTCATCTGGATGATGCATGTTTTGTAACATATAACGGATGCATATTACCTCGTTGACAAATTGTTCGACAGTACAGTAGTCTTTATTCCGCGTACTTTGATATAATTGATTGAATTCTTGGCAATCGTGACGAATATTGAAGTCGTTTCTCGTTTTAAATACATTGCTTTATTGGATGGGAGCGGAATGGAACGCGATGACCAGTGATTGTTGTTACGGCGATTATGTTATTAGTCGATTAGAGAGGTCACATACTAATTAGCTTCTTTTCATCGATATATGGCAAAGATGAATGAAGATAAACTCGAAATGTAACACGAGGGTGTAAACAAATGAAAGATCTTAGACTATATCGTTTACATTTAAATGCGTAATTAATTCCGATTTCGTAACGATCATCGTCTAAGATCCACATTCAGGATACAGTATCATTCTGGAACTGATTATGGGGGGTTTTCAAAGAGAGAGAGAGTGAGAGAGTGAGAAAGTTTCTTACCGGTGAACACTTGAATCTTGTCGAGAAGAACGCGGTCCTGGAATTTAGTTCTGTTGAGCGAAATTCGCGTAAAAATATATATCTTCTTGTTTCTCGAGAGCTCAAGAATACACTGGGAAAATTGTCTCGTCTGGAAGTCTCCCTTATAAGGATGTACTCTAACGTACAACTTAGTGTACGTCCAAAGCCATAGTGCCTACAAAATAACGATCATACCCTTCTGCAATTGTAAATACTTTACAAACATAATTATGTAAGCTCATAAAAACACACATATGTGCGTATACATATATATTATATGTAAGAACGTAACGATTCTCTCTCACACACAAAAAAAAATGGACAGATGCTACAAACATCTCATTACATGTAATTAACGTAAAAATACGGATCACACTTATTTTTAATATATTAATATTATTAATTATTATTAAAACATTAAACGAAACGAAATATTAGTTTATATATGAAATATATAATTTCATTTATATAGATATACGTACATGTAATACGTATTTAAATTTATGATGAACAAACATTGTGCAGGATAACAAACTTGCATTAAATGCGTGTTGAAAAGATTTAAAATATTTCGAATATATTTAAATCAGTAAATAAATTAAATTAAAAACAGTAATTATAATCAGATATGTAGTACTATTTTGTACATAATTCAAGACTAATGTTTAAAGATTCGTGAAATATTCCACAAAATATGACATTTTATATATCTCGAATTAGATTATCCCTTAAAATATCTCAATAAATTTAAAATATCACATTGTTACACATAGATATTTGCAAAATAAGCCTACACGAAAAAAAAAATCAAGAAAGGCTTCAGTTTAATTAATATCACGATGACAGATTGTTACTTTGCACAATGTTCGCTGTGCTCCCATTCACGACAGCCGGGAAAAATTCTATGTTACTCTTGTTTTCGTTTTCCAATTAAGCGGCGTCAAGCGCTTTTTTTCATACGCCACGAAAAGGCAATGAGAAGTTGAATAAAAGAGCAAAGCGTATGAGTGCATTAAATATGAAAACGAGAGCGGAAAAGAAGAGAGAGAGAGAAAGAGGAATGTATTTGTGTGTATGCGTGTGTGTGTGTGTATGATATCGTCGAAATGAATATTAAACGAAGGATTTCGGCCTTTTGAATATACCACACACAAGTGAGAAGTTGCGATATTTTCTACCTGAATATTTACAGGACGTTGCGAGATCCGAATGCGGGGACGCACACACAATTGTGGCTGAGGAAAAAAGAGAACATAAACGATATTTTCAAAGAGAAGACATAAAAGTATATTTAAAACTCATTCTATCTTTGTGGCGAATATCTGGAGACAGCTGCAACTCTGTTAAATATTAATGGGTTTGCAATTGTCTTCGGGGATAATGCGTATTTGCAAGATCAAAAAGAAACTTTAAGTGTGTATTTAACCGAAAACAGTATCTTTATTTGTGTAAAATTACACATTTATATATGTAAACAATAATAGAAGCCATGCTTTCGGATTCCGCAGCGATTCCTGTTTTAGAGTATCTCGTCGCGAAAAAGATGGCATATATACATCGTTTGATTTTTGACTTGAGGCATTCGTGAATCTACATTTTCTAGCAGCCTGTCGGATAACGTTTCCTTTTTTTTTCGAACGTTTAAGAACGAAACTTGCCGTCGCGAAGAGCGCAGGACCTTTTCATAATCTATATTTAAAGGTGCCAATAAAAAGACACGCGCGAGAGAAAGAGATATTATTTTCTGTTGATTGATAGAACGCGGTGGATGACCCGTATCATTTTTAATTAGCTCTTTGTTTTTACTATTATCGATAAAGGAAAGAAAAGTATATATAGGTATGACGCACCGATATTATATATATAATATATAAATTTTGTAATTTAAAATATTTTTATAAAAAAATGTTTATGTTTAGAAGAGTAGAACAAATTATTTTCATTTTCAACTGATTATTTCATTTTTATCTTTAAAATCTCGTCCTCTTTCAACTGAAACATTGATTTTTATTACAATCACAACTCGTTGTAGCTAAATAATTTTCAACTCCGAATTGTTTTGATTTTGAAATTCACAAGCTTCTGTTATTGATTTATTATTGATTATTCATATATTGTACAAGTTTTTTGAAACTTACAGTATATAAATGGAACTATATATATCAATAGCTCCGATTCGCGCTGGTAAATCGACGCATAAGAGAGTAAAAGAAAGATCATCAAAGTTGGCCATCGAGAGTAGTTTATAAAATTTTGTGACAGCGCGTTTATATATGCGCTCTCTTTCGATCGTTATATATTTGAGAGAACTGTTTAGAACCGATGGCAAACGCTAATTAAACACTGATCGATCATCGTAAAGAAGAAAATTACAAAATAAAAATGAAGGAAGAATCGAGTAATGTATTATTACGACAAATACATTTTGTCACATTTTAAAAAGTGGGTCCAGCCTGCTGAAAGAACACTGCAGAAAAGAAAGTGGCAAAATATAATCTTATGTAACATCGTATATAGAGAAAAATATGCGCATTCCTTATCCTTCATGACAAAAAATCCCGCATTAACTAATCTCTATACCCGTATGAATATAATCGTGTCGAGATTTACAATTTTATTATTTTGACATGGACACGCCAAGTTTTATTCAATTTAATTTGATCGGCTCAGTAAATTCATTAGATCAGATATTAATACACTTCAAATTGTTTGAAATTAAGATAATAGGTGCATGATTAAAATAAAATTTTCTAGTTTCAAGAATAATATTTTTTTTTGAATATATAATTTATTTTGAAATTATAAGAAGACATTTATTATATATATTAAACTTTGTTACAATTGACTTTTCTTTTTAATTGCAAAACTTTCTGGCAGTAATTTTAAAAAACGGGTTTAAAAAAATCTAAAAATTTCGTTTCATTAATTTATAGGAAAGAAGCGAATCTATTAACTCTGACAATGAGCGCGGGAAAAGGCGAAAGAATAAACGTCAGTTTGAAAATTCTCTAGAATATCACGTCTAGCTCCTTTCCGATAATCCTGAAAAAGGCGGGAAATCAACGCAGGGTTAGAAGTTCTCTAGGGAACTATCTAGGGGAACAGTCCAGTTTACGGTACAATTGCAACGCGTAACGTATCTAGTCCGCTTGAAATGTATTGTTATTATGTTAAAATTGTTTTTATAGTATTGTAATATGCGAAAACGTGATTCTAAGAACCAATTCGATCCAAGAATCAGAAAAATTAGAAATTCAACGATGTTCACCAGGATACTCTACACAACTATATATATATATATATATATAGGTATGACGCACCGATATTATATATATAATATATAAATTTTGTAATTTAAAAT